AAGAGTTTGCAGCATTTGTTCAAGAAAAAGAAGCTCAATTTGAGGTAGAGGAAGTGGTTAGAGCTATTGAAAGACTATGATATTACCATCTTGTAACATCGGGGGCAGGCTAATGTGGTGGACGATGCTTTGAGTAGGAAGTCAACTAGTATGGGTAGCCTTGCGTACATTTCAGTCGGTGAGAGACCGTTTGCATTAGATGTTCAGGCCTTAGCCAATCAGTTCGTGAGGTTGGATGTTTCTGAGCCCTGTTGTGTTTTAGCTTGCACAGTTGATCGGTTTTCCTTGTTTGAGCGTATCAGGGAACAAAAGTATGATGACCCTCGTTTGCTTGAACTTAGGGACACAGTGCGACACGGTGATGCCAAGCAGGTTACGGTTGGAGATGATGGAGTTTTGAGGACACAGGGTCGTGTTTGTGCCTAATGTGGATGGACTTCGTGAGTTGATTCTAGAGGAGGCTCACATTTCCCGATATTCTATTCATCAGGGAGCCGCCAAGATGTATCAGGATTTGTATCAGCATTATTGATGGAGGAGGATGATGAAGGATATTGTTGCATAAGTAGCTCAATGTCTAAATCTTCAGCAGTAAAGTATGAGCATCATAGACCTGGTGGTTTGCTTCAGAAGATAGATATTCTTTAGTGGAAGTGGGAGAGTATCACTATGGATTTCGTTGTTGGACTCCCACAGACTCAGAGGAAGTTTGATAGAGTTTGGCTTATTATGGATAGGCTGACCAAGTCAACACATTTCATTCATGTGGTAGTTTGTTCTTCGGAGTAGTTGGCAGAGATTTATATCCGTGAGATCGTTCATCCTCACGGTGTGCCTGTGTCTATCTCTTTTGATTGAGGTACGCAGTTTACCTCGCACATCTGGAGGGCAATATAACGTGAGTTGGGTACGCGGGTCGAGTTGAGCACACCATTTCATCCTCAGACGGACGGATAGTCCGGGCGTACTATTCAGATCTTGGAGGATATGCTTCGCACCTATGTTATTTGGAGGTTCTTGGGATTAGTTCTTACCGTTAAAGGAGTTTGCCTACAATAACAGTTATCAGTCGAGTATCCAGATGGATACCTATTAGGCATTATATGGTAGACGGTGTCGATCACCGGTTGGATGGTTTAAGCCGGGGGAGGCTCGGTTATTTGGTACAGGATCCCCCTGGATAAGTTTAAGATCATTCAGGAAAGACTTCGTACACCTTAGTCCAGGCATAAGAGTTATGCCGACCGTAAGGTTCGGGATATAGCATTCATGGTCGGAGAGAGAGTGTTGCTTCGGGTATCGCCAATGAAGGGTGTAATGAGGTTTGGAAAGAATGACAAGTTAAGACCTAGGTATATCGGGCCTTTTGAGATCCTTGAGCGAGTGGGAGAGGTGGCCTACAGACTTGCGTTTCCACCAGACTTATCACGCGATCCATCCCACGTGTTAGATTTCAGCACTGTCCAGTTGGATAAGGATTTGACCTACGAGGAGGAGCCGGTAGCTATTCTAGACCTGCAGGTTCGTTAGTTGAGATCGAAGAGCAATCCTTCAGTTTGAGTAAAATGGAGAGGTCAACCGGTTAAGGCAGCTACCTGGGAGTCTGAGTTCGATATGCAAAGCAGATATCCCCACCTTTTCACCAGCTCAGGTACTTTTCTATGTTCGTTCGGAGACGAATGGTTGTTTTAGAGGTGGAGAATGTGATGACTCAAAAGGTCATCTTATGTTTTAGAACTCGATTCCATGTTAGGCCTTCAAAACCTCATTTTATCCCTCCTCGATTTGCGTGTGCAATCCGAGCATATTTCCGGAAAGCTTTTATGTTAAAACTTTATAAAAATAATAATTTTTGCTTTTAAAAGTTGATTTAGTTGACTTCAATCAACATTTTGAGTAAACGGACCCGGACTTGTATTTTGATAGTCCTGATGGATCCATATCGAAATATGGGACCTGGGTGTATGCTCGGAATCAAATTCCGAGGTCCCTAGCTCGAGAAAAGAATTTTTGATGAAAAATTGAAAGATTAAAAATTAAATGGTTTTAAGAATTTGGTTAATGTTTGATATTATTGGTATCGGACCTGTATTTTGGTTTCGGAGCCCGTATAGGTGCAAAATAATAATTATACCTTATCCATAAAATTTGGTGAGAAACAGAACTGATTTGACGTGATTCAGATATCCGGTTGTGAAAATAGGAATTTCAAAGTGTTCTTAAGAATTTCATGTGATTTGGTGCTAAATTCGTAGTTCTAGGTGTTATTTTGGCGATTTGATCGCACGAGCAAGTTCGTATGATATTTTAAGACTTTTGTGCATGTTTGGTTTGGAGACCCAAGGGCTCGAGTGGGTTTCGGATAGGCTACAGGATGTTTTGAACTTAGAAAAAATCTGGTGTTTGGCTTCAGCTGTCATCTGGTATCTTCTTCTTTGTGTTCACGAATGCCAAGAGTAAATTGGCCTGTCTCTACGCAAATGCGAAGTACTGGACGGGAACACGGAGCGTTAGGAGCATTACCCTTCGCGAACGCGACCAGGATATCACGAACGCGAAGCATTGGGACCTGGGGGAGGGGAAGTATACTCTTCGTGAATGCCGAAAGTGGCTTGCGAACACGTAGGCTGGTGGGAGTAAGCCTTCGCGAACGCGAAGTGTATCTCGCGAACGCGTAGACTAATAGAGCCGTAGTGATTTTAAAACAGACCTGAAACGGGAGTTTCTTCAAAGTTTCATATCTCTTCCATTAGAACTCAACCTAGGGCGATTTTTGAAGAGGTAATTCAACACCAAATCATAGGTTTGTACTCTTTAACTTGTTAACTTCAATTTCCATCATCACCCATTAGATTCTTAGACCTAAACCTTGCTCTTTCATGGTAGAATTAGGGATTTTTGGAAGGATTGACGGTTTTTTCAAATTGGGAATTTGACCTCGATTTGGGGTCGAATTCTGAAACTAATGATATATTCGGGCTCGGGGATGAATGGGTAAATAGATTTTCATCCGAACCTCAAGTTTTGACCAAGCGGGCCTTAGATCGGTTTTTGACTTTTTGGGAGAAATGTTGGGAAACCTAAATTTATGTATTAAAATTGATTCTGTTAGCAATATTTGATGTTATTAAGTTAATTATGGTTAGATACGAGTGGTTTGGAGGTGAAATCTAGAGAAAAAGCGGTAATTGAGCAGTTCGTGGCCTGTGGATTGAGGTAAGTGTTGTGTCTAACTTTCACTCGAGGCATTAGGAACCCTTGACTTATTTGCTATTGAAAATTCATGTGAGTGGCGTATAGGTGAGGTGCCGAGTACTTATGTACCGCCAATTTATCTGTTTTGCCTATTTATTTCCTGTTCTTCTTATATTGTCTTTTCCTACCTTAATTACTCCATGCTTTACTAGTCTTTTCATGCTTAATTGCTACTTGTCAGACATTATTTTTCATTGTTGAAGGTATTAGCTACCCCGTAGTTTCATTGTCTCATATTATTGGCTTAAGATGGTTTATCGGTGTTTTATCGTATATTTTGGACTGGTTTTGCTGAGTAGTATTATTGGTGTGAAGTTTCATAATGTACAAGCTTTCCGTTTGCTTTGGTTTGAGGTTTAAATATTTTGAAGAGTTTTCAGTTAAATTGTGAAATTTCTGTACTTATTGAGTAATTGATGATGATACGGTGGCATCGGGTTGCGCATTGCAATAAGAAGAATAAGGGTGATATATTAAGGAGGAATAAGGGTAAAATGTTATTATATAGTGGGATCGGAATGCGCACCACATCGATTTATGTGTTTATGTATCTTTCTTCCACTGTGTAAGTTATTCTGCAGTTTTGCATTTCACTTAAGGACTGGTTATAACTGGATAATGATAAGACACTTGAGTTCTGTGTTCATTCCTTGCAAGTTACTGCTTTATTTTGTCCTATCCTTCTTTCTGCTTTTATTATACACTGTATGCAGGTTATATTGTAATTGCCCCACCGTAGCCTCGTTATTACCTCATCGAGGTTAGGCTCAGCACTTACCAATACATGGAGTCGGTTGTACTGATATTGCACTCTGCACTTTCTGTGCAGATTTTGGAGCAGGTAGTGGCTGATTGAGAGATTGGCTTCAGGTTACACAGTTTGGAGATCCAAGGTAGTCCTGCTGGCGTCTGCAGGCCCTGGCGTCCGCTTCTACATCTCTACATTAATGTTTTCTTTATTTCCAAAATAGTTGTAATTTATTTCAGATCGATGTTTGTAGAAAATCATAGTGTGTTCGTGGATTGTGACACCATATTCTGGATATTAATAGCAATGGTATTGGTAATAGCATAAACAAAAAGGCTATTTACTTACTTGCGTATTTATTTCTACTTGTTTTAGCTTGTTAATCTTTAATCAATGAAACGTACAGGAAATTGGTTAACAAACTCTAACATTCGCTTGCCTAGCATGTGTGATGTTAGGTGCCATCACGGTCCCGATGGTGGAAATTCTGGGTCCTGACAATTTCGATATGTTTTGTTCTTTTGTGATGCAATGGATTCATAACAATTTGTAGTGCTTCTTTGTTATCACAGAATAATTCAATTGGCAGCTTTTCTGCACCAAGCTCCTTAAACAAGCATGTTAACCAAACAAGTTCTGCTACTTTTCAAGATATGCTCCTGTATTCAGCTTCTACTGAGCTTCTTGAGACTGTGTTTTGTTTCTTAGACTTCCAAGATATAAGAGAATTTTCGTGCTTAAAAAGAAAACATGTGACTGATTTTCTTGTGTTAGGACATGAAGCCCAATCAACATCACCATATGCACTTAGTGTATTGCTATTTTGACTGCTTATCAAGATCCCCACACCCGAGTCCTTCTTGACATATTTGACCATTCTCAAGGCTGCCTCCTAGTGACTTCTTTTGTGTTGTTGCATAAATTGACTAAGTGTTTGGACTGCAAAGGCTATGTCTGATCTTGTAAATGTTAAGTATAACAACTTCCCAATGAGTCTCTAATATTTGCCCTTGTCTTCCAGCTGCTCATCACCTTCTAAGCCTGTGATATCATTCAACTCTTTAAGAGTGTATTTCTGGTTGTACTCTAATGGGGTGCAAGCTTGTTTAGAGGCACTTAGTCGTAATTCTTCAATGAGTTCCAGTGAATATTTTCTCTGATTCATCAAAATTCTTCTCTTCGGCCTGCTGAACTCCATTCCCAAAAATTACCTTAATTCTCCAAGTTCTTTCATCTTAAAAGCTTGCTATAATTTTAGCTTTGTTTCTTCTATCAACTGGAGATTGTTTCTAGTGAACAACATGTCATCCATATAAACAAGAATGACAAGTATATTAGTCCCTATCTTCTGTGTAAAAAGGGAATAATCAAGAGTACTCTGAAATAACCCTTGAGCTGTAAGTGTTTCTATGAGTTTGACATTCCATTATCTACTTGATTGCTTCGGACCATATAAGAATTTAACAAGCTTAGATACCATTGGATTCTCCACCTGGCTTGTAAAGCCCTAAGGTAGTTACATGTAGACTTCATCTGGTAAGTCACCCTGTAGGAAAGTATTGTACACATTCATTTGACGGTTGTGATACCTTCCATTGCAGCTAAGGATATGCCTGATATCATAGTGACAATCTTTACAACTGGTGAGAATGTCTCATTGTAGTGAAAGCCCTCTTGTTGATTATAACCTCCAGTTACCAAATGAGCTGTGAACCTTTCTACCTCACCATTAGCTTTATACTTGGCCTTAAATACCCATTTACAGCCAATAGAAACCTTCCCATTAGGTAAAGAAACCAGCTTCTAGGGGTGGTTATCTTTCAAGACTTGAATTTCAGCTCTCATGGCCTCCACCCACCTTAAATCTTTGGAAGCATCATAAAATACTTTTGGCTCCATAATTAAAGTAAAAGATGCAATATAGTACTTGTATGGTGGCTTCAGGGAAGAGTACTTAACTGAGTGATCAATAGGACAAGGGATGATTGAAGTAGTGCTGGTAGGTGTAGTGATATAGTCTGATAACCATCATGTAGGTTTCTTTGTTCTAGTAGACTTTGTGAAGGTCTATAGATCTTTAGAGGCTGAGTTATGTGATAAACTTTGTGGCTCTTCTAGATCTTCAGGTTCAATTGTAGAGTCTGTAGAATGTTCTTCATTCTAATGCATCAACTCATCATGATAATGACCTTCATGTTGTTGTTGAGTAATATCTTCATGAGTCTCCTCATGGTGTGCTTTTGATTCCTTCTCTTGAACTATTGATTCCTCTCCTTGAACTTCTGTCATCTCATTTGTTGTGTAGTCTAAGTTTGGATCATTGTTACTAGGGACATGTCTAGAGTTGTTTGGTTCAACTTCTGAGAACAATGATGGTTGTGTAAATGCTTTGTGCTTGAAAGGAAAAATATGTTCCTTAAAATGATCATCTCTATTAACAAAGAACACACAATTAGTGAGGTTGTATAGTATATACCCTTTGCTGACTGCTGAGTATCCTATCATAACTACTGCAACTATTGTTGCTGCAAACTTGTCATGGTTATGGACCTTCTTGGCAAAACAAAGGCATCCCATTAGTCTTAGATGATCTAGCTTTGGTCTTCTTTTTAAAAGACCTCATAAGGTGGATTCCCTTCTAGAACAACTAATGACATCCTGTTAATCAAATATACTGCAGCTAGAACATAGTGTCCCCAAAACTTCAGAGGAATACCTCCTTGAAACTTGACTGCTCTTGCAATTTTCAAAATATGTATGTGTTTCCTTTTAGCAATTCCATTTTGCTGATGGGTACAAACATACCCATCACATGTTCTCTGATGAATTATCCCTAAAGATTGAAACAAATGAAAATAGTTGGTGTTGATGAATTCTCCACCATTGCCAGATCTTAACATTTTGACTGTTTTCACAAATTGAGACTTGACCAATGAGAATAAATTCATGAGCATTATAACTGCATCACTTTTAAGTCTAAGCAGAAACAACCAAATAGTTCTTGAACAGTCATCCAAAATAGTCATAAATATTTTATTCCCATCAACTGTAGGTACATTATAAGGTCCTCATACATTAATATGTAACAATTCAAAAACATTAGAAGAGCTACTTGTACTGATGTGAAATGGTAGTCTAGTATGCCTTGCTAAGCATACATTCTACAGCTATCTAGTGCTACGTTATATTCTTCTTGCCCCAAACCTAAAATCCATTTTAAAGTTACTGTTGATGTATGTCCAAGCCTTTTATTCCATAGTCCAATGTTCAATTTCTCCTTTATTCCAGTCAATCCTCTTGCTATAGAGTTGCGGTTTTTGGTAGGTTTTTGAAGAAACAGATAGAGTGTTTCACTTTCTCTACCAATCCTTTTCACCAGTTCATTGTAGAGGTCTTGGAATATATAGAAATGTGGAAAGAAACACACTGAGCACTGCAACTTCTTTATAATTTTAGATACTGACAAAAGAATATACCTAAATTCTGGTATATATAGAACATCATCTATTTCAATGTTATCAATCAATCTACAAGATCCAAAATGTGTCACAACCGTGGTCACACCATTTGACAGATATACCTTTTTTCTTTCATTCTTATCACTTTTCCTTTTTGTACTCAACATATTTATGTTAGCCACTATATGATTTGTGGCTCCAGAATTAACAATCCAATGTTTTACGTGTGCATTTGCTAGAAAAGCATCAATAGTACCTGCAATGTTGGCCATGCCAATTGAAGTTGAACCTTCACTTGTACCATCCTTGATGAGCAACTTTAGGATCTGATTATAATGTTCTGATGTGAAATATGGTCCTTGAATCCCATATGTGGTGTTGAGTTTGTTTTTTCTTCCATTTGTATTTGTAATTGCATCATGCCTTCTTTGATCCTCCACTACAGCATTGTGAACAACTCCGACATCATGCTTCTTTCTATACTTGAAGTCAACAGGATATCCAATCAACTTGTAGCATCCTTCACAGGTGTGCCCTTTGAGTTTGCAATAATAAAAATATAAGTTGTAGTTCCTTTTCCCTTTCTGAGCAGGATTATTGGCTCCTGTTGTCATGAGTGTTTTCACCTCTCCAGTGTCAGCATTTGTCATGCTCCTCTAGCTTTCTCTTTCCATCAACGTCAAGTATGCTTTGTTGATTGTAGGCACTGCCGCCATCATCAGAAGTTGGCTTCTTGCCTATTCATAAGACTCATTGAGTCCCATTAGAAACTGTAATAGTTTTAGCCTCCCCATGGACAGTACAAATTCACGCAACTTGGCACAATCACAACGAGGAATTGGAGCAAGGTTGTCAAACTCGACCCATAGCAAACGTAATTTTGATAATTAAGCATTAATGCAATTGGTACCTGAGTTATAGAAGCAATCTCCTTGTGTATTTGAAAATTCCTAGAACAATCGATTTATCAAATTATTCCTTCAAACCTCCCCAAACCGAGGAAGCACTTGTTGAGTATACTGTTTTTTGATGCCCAATTTTACCCTCATATTTTTTCAAATAGTATATATATTTTAAAAATGTCATTTTGCATCATTATTTATTCCATAACTTTTCGCAATTTTTAGAACTTTAAATTCAATTTTCTTGCATTTAAATTACTTAAATATTTATTCGTTATCCCTCTAAATTATGTATGATGACTTAATCATCCAAATTTGTTATTTATCTCCACATATATCTTTTAAAATATTTTTACTTTATTTTACGTAATTGCATTTTTCTAAGCTATTTACATAATTTTGCAGTAATAACCTATATTCTACACATAATTGTATTCATTATATTATTTATACTAAAATATTCTTTATGATATTTTTATTATATTAAGCTATTATTTTAAAGTATTTTACTCATAAATAATATTTTTATCATGTATTAGTTATTTTTTATAATTTATTTTTCATATTTAAATTATAGCACGTCTTTAAGTCAAATTCGGACAACATTAGTGGCCCAAATACTCCAAAAATCTCTGGCCCGATCTTCCAGCCCAAACCAAACAACTCTTAACCTCAACTCGGTCGCGACCCATTAAACCAACCCGCCCCGCTCGATTTTTAATCTTGACCGTTGATATCTTAAGATCAACGACCCGCAAATACCCTACCCTTTTTAATTACCCAACCCTAGATCAACGACCCACAAATACCCTACCCTTTTTAATTACCCAACCCCAAACCTTAATCCCAGTATCTTGAGACAGCTGCCTCTGTATTCTCTCGACTCCCCCCCCTCTCTAAGAAACCCTAGCTACCATATTCCTAATCTTCTCCAATTCCAACCCAAACATGGAATCAATCTATGATCCACTTACCTATTTTGTGATACTCTGCTATTATGCGCGTATATATGGTGTTACTTAGTTCTTGCCCTATTTGTGGCAAGAACTACCTTTCAAGAATGGGATCGATTTACTTTGATTTTGTGGAGATCTGGACGATCTTTCGTCTATATAAATGCCACAATGAACGATTCTTGCATTATTGGTTCGATTCAAGACCGTTGGACCCAACTAGTGTTTGCGATTTTCTTTTTCCTTACTGATTTCGATTGCATGTGATATTCTTTCCTTTCTTGTGTTTGACTGATAATTTTCCATGTTTGTTGTTTCAATTTCTGCTACTATATAAACCCCTCTCATATTCCCTTTAAACAGACCTTAATCATTGTACTCTCACTCTAACTAGTCCTATATTATTCTAAAATTCGAGCTCTTGGCCCGCTAGAAGCCAAGGCCATCAGAATTTAATTATTCGACCTCTCTCAGTGCGAGCACTGCTCGAGGTTCATTTGAAGCCCTTGGGAACTCTGACACACTGAGAATTTTGGGATTTCATTGCTTTTCTACAATCGCCGCTATTTCTGAGATTTTGAATTTCTCATTCTTTGTTCGATTTGTTTGCAACTGGTACTTCATACCCTTGAAATTCCTACTTCTTTCTGTTTGTATTATGTGCACTGGTGCTACTTAGATTTCCTTGAATTAATTTTGATATTATTCCACTTTGTATACGGGTCTCTGTGTCTTAATACCATTCAGCAGTAGCTTCAACTCTGTTCAAATCGTGTTCGTAATATAGCCTGATCGATGTTTGTTGCACCTTATTTTGATTTCTTGTACTAAAACCCTTAGAAAACTATGTCATTGTTCAGAATTTCTCTCTTCCTATTGAATCTGTGATTTCTCTACAAGTTATGTGACAATGATGTGTGAATGCTTAGCCTAATATGTTCTCTTGCCACTGCTAGCTTTAATGCATGCCCATTATATGTGTCCCACCTGATTGATTTTTGATCATCATGTTTTTGTGTAGCTAGTTATTTATACATGTCATTTGTTATGAGTCTATGCCTTAGATTCCTGGGAGGAGCTAATTCGCGCCTAGAATTTTCCTGAAAGAACTTTTATTGACAATTCCTTTATGAGACCCCTTTTTTACTTACGTACATAAACCATATTTGATGTTGCAATGTTTTAACCAAATATGTTGCTTTGTTATGGTGTTTGATCACTCCTGCATTCATTGGTATTGCTTGTGTTCTAGTCAAATCCCAATACATTTAGGTACCATGATCATGAATAGTCAATTGGCCTATGTTCTATGTCTGCCTGTACTATTTAACTTTAAGATAACATGTCTTCCTGCCATATCTTTGTGTTGTACTCAGCATGATTAGGCTTCTCAATGATTTCTTGCTTGCTTCCTTGTTATGAATAATTGTCATTTCCTGAATATGACTCTGCCTGACCATTCATGACTTAGATTGCTAGGTTTTAGAATCCATTTAGGCTAGTGCTCTATTCTGAACTCATTTGTTATATGCATCTTGTATGCGTTTATCCAGTAACCCCCAAATGACCTGCTTCCCCTAATCCTCTCTCTCAATGTGTTTTTTTTCTGCTCAACATGCTATCCCCTGCTAAGTGATTAAACTTGTAATGTCAGTTTGTCATATCAACTTGCCATGATGAATTTAAGCCTTATTGATTATCTTAGTTTTCATGTTCCTTTGTCTAATTGATCTTGTTACGCTTGCTTCCAAAATACAAATACACTTTTCTATAAATTCTGTCATCTAGTCATTGTTAGTGAGCCTCAGAATCGTTTAAGTAATTGCTATGTGTGGTTTGTTTGGTTAAGTTATTAACTCACAATTGCTTGGTAAGTGGGACTATCTGGGTTTTGATATGGGTCCAAATGTGGACATGGACTGTGCAATCGATACACTCCAATGTTTGATCTGAGTTTGGTTCTAGGTTTTCCACAAGCGTGAGAAGCGAGCTTGTTGAAGGCCCAAGCAGCGCTTGGGTTATTTCTTCTTAGGCCTGCTCTATTTTGATGGGCCTATAGTCACCTCATTTTTGTAATATTTGAGTTTGTTTCTTCTTTCATATTTGGGCATGTAATAATTTTTAAACAAACAATGGGGAAAATTTGTGAAAAGGAGGTTGGGTATCCTAATTCTTGCATAAACGGGTAGAGAGCATGCCAATAGGGTCTACCTGCTCTGTTTGCTACTTTGTTCGATGTGATTTATACACTAGTGGAAATCATG